TTTTTTTTTTTTTTTTTTTTTTTGCAGGAACCTTGCAGTTCTTGTCACTTTTTCAGGCTAAGTCCATCATTTCCGTAAATCGTATCAACAACGTTCCTCTGAGGGATATCGTCCCGCTTGAGTGAAATAGTAGACTTACTGGCCACAAAACGTTCTCAAAAATTGTAGTAAATAATTCTATCGATGGAAATAATATAGATGGTGTTAACGTTGCTCAACTTGCTAGATCAACACTGTTAACTTCGGGGAAACAGACATTAGGATTCTTGCGTATTTCTTCAGATGTTAAGACTAGCGATATATTTTTGTCTGGTAAAATAAACAACTTATTACTAAATTTGTTGATTAAAGACTTGGCCAGAGTAGATAGACCTGCCGCAGTTATGGGAAATAAGATCTTTAAAGACGACTTTATAATTGATAACGAGTTGGTAGCGCGAGAAATAGACAACATTGCCTTACCCCAGGATCTGTTGTTGTCTTCTGTGGAACAAACAATTTCGGCCAATAAAGAATTTATACAAACTGTTATGACCAGTGTTGAGGTAACTGGTTACGTTGACCACGTGACTCTTCCATATGACGTGGCTTCCTTGACGGGATCCGAGTACTTGCAAAATGCTATCACGTTTTCTAAAGGTTTATTTGTTGACCGTGACGTACGCGTGTACCATGAAACTGATGGTATTGATATCTCTTCGTTAAAACAACGAGTCAATGAAATGATTAGACAAAATCTTGGAGAACTTGGTGCCATTATAATCAACAACAACTTGGAAGTCAGTGGGAGAGTCAACGAAGTAGATATTGGATATCTTCATCAAAATGGCATCTCTTACGAGGGTGAGGTCGTATTTATTTTAGCACCAAAGGTTTTTACACAACTGAATATCGTAAAAGTAAAGGTTGTTCAGGAAGAAATAGGAGGAATTCAGCTGTCACGTTATATGACCGTATATTCAACGCAGACTGTTAGAGGTACGTAAGCTTTTAACTTCCAAGTTAACTTAATACGGACCTAATTGTACCGTTTTACACTGACATTACGTATTTTGTTGACCAGAACAGAGTAACTGGTGTATCAAATAAATATCAAAGTTAGCTTTGAACTTGCGAAAAAGCAAAGTGCACGTGCTTAGTCCACGTCCTGTAATTTATTTATTTTACTTTATTCCTTTTGTCAATAATAAAATTGTAGGAACAACAATCAAACGCTGGGTCAACGTTTCGCTGAGCTCAAAGTATTGATCATACTTAGAACACGAATGATTGATTATTAATTGAGAGAATTGGGGGGAGAAGCTGCATCACTGAAATTTGTGGCTTACAGGAGAATGTTACTTTAATTTCAGGATAAATCTTAAATCAATTTAATTTCTAAATTTTCATAAACATAAAACAAATTACCCGTATTCTTCCAACAAGTCTCTGCACTATATCCAGTCACTAATGGACTGTAGTGAATTAGAATATTCTTCTGTAAGAAGTTTTTGTAACATTAAGTTTTGTATATACAACTAATCTTTCGGTAAAATGTTGAATATCAAATTGGTTCTCGCATAAGCAACTAAGTAAACCCTATTGTTGGTATGTTACTTATCTATGTCACAAATGTAAAATATATTTTCTAGGTAACAAGGTGTTTGCTGTTCCGGTTAATTTCGGCAATTTGGAATGCCCAACCATCGATGGAGTCGGACTAGATATTTTGTCTCTTTTTAAAATAAAACTCGTCAATGTTGTACACGTGGTTGATTCGCTCATTATTCATGGTTACATCGACGGATTGGACACTGACACATTTGTCATCAGGAACGTTGTTCAAGAAATCGGCGCACGAAAGACAATTAACAGTTTTTACACGGACAGTTTAACGGTCAGCGGTAACGTTTTCACCTCGTCAGGGGATTTTCATGATCAATTCAAACGGCTGAATAGTAGTGGGATAAGATTATCCAAAGAGGAAACTTGGCATCATGATTTTATGTTTGGAAATAATTCTTTCGGCAGTTTTTATGTAGGTGGACCTGTGAATAACGTAGACTTGAAACACTTGGTTTATAATACGATGTCTCTCTACTTGCCTCAAAACATCAGTGTGCCCATTTACTTCGAGAATAGTCCAGGTGGGTGTCTCAAATGTCCAAACATTCAGTAAAGGAAGGTTTTGGATGTCTGTTTTTAATAAATGAAATAATTATCTTTTTTTTTTTTAAGTCATTACATTTCCACACATAGATAACTATCATTGTGGTAATATTGAGAGTGTGTATTGTTACACGTTGAACAGTTTATGCCGTACTGAAGTTTGTTTATCATACCGTGCCATAGATAACTATCATTGTGGTAAGATTGAGTGTATTGTTACACGTTGAACAGTTTATGCCGTACTGAAGTTTGTTTATCATATCGTGCCATAGATAACTATCATTGTGGTAAGATTGAGTGTATTGTTACACGTTGAACAGTTTATGCTGTACTGAAGTTCGTTTATTATATCGTGCCATAGATAACTATCATTGTGGTAAGATTGAGTGTATTGTTACACGTTGAACAGTTTATGCCGTACTGAAGTTTGTTTATCATACCGTGCCATAGATAACTATCATTGTGGTAAGATTGA